CTCTGTTTTCTCTGTTTTCTTCTCTGTTTTCTCTGTTTTCTCTGTTTTCTCGTTTCTCTGTTTTCTCTGTTTTCTCTGTTTTCTCTGTTTTCTCTGTTTTCTCTGTTTTCTCTGTTTCTCTGTTTTCTCTGTTTTCTCTGTTTCTCTGTTTTCTCTGTTTTCTCTGTTTTCTCTGTTTTCTCTGTTTTCTCTGTTTTCTTTTCTCTGTTTTCTCTCTGTTTTCTCTGTTTTCTCTGTTTTCTCTGTTTTCTCTGTTTCTCTGTTTCTCTGTTTTCCTCTGTTTCTCTCTGTTTTCCTCTGTTTTCTCTGTTTTCTCTGTTTTCTCTGTTTCTCTGTTTTCTCTGTTTTCTCTGTTTTCTCTGTTTTCTCTGTTTTCTCTGTTTTTCGTTCTCTGTTTCTCTGCCTGTTTTCTCTGTTTTCTCTGTTTTCTCTGTTTTCTGTTTTCTCTGTTTTCTCTGTTTTCTCTGTTTTCTTGTTCTCTGTTTTCTCTGTTTCTCTGTTTTCTCGTTTTCTCTGTTTTCTCTGTTTTCTCTCTGTTTTCTCTGTTTTCTCTGTTCTCTGTTTTCTCTGTTTTCTCTGTTTTCTCTGTTTTCTCTGTTTTCTCTGTTTTCTCTGTTTTCCTTTCTCTGTTTTTCTCTGTTTTCTCTGTTTCTTTTTCTCTTTCTCTGTTTCTCTGTTTTCTCTGTTTTCCTCTGTTTTTTCTCTGTTCTGTTTTCTCTCGTTTTCCTCTGTTTTCTCTGTTTTCTCTGTTTTCTGTTTCTCTGTTTTCTCTGTTTTCTCTGTTTTCTCTGTTCCTGTTTTCTCTGTTTTCTCTGTTTTCTCTTTTTCCTCTGTTTTCTCTGTTTTCTCTGTTTTCTCTGTTTTCTCTGTTTTTCTCTGTTTTCTCTGTTTCTCTGTTTTCTCTGTTTTCTCTGTTTTCTCTGTTTTCTTTTCTGTTTTCCTCTTGTTTTCTCTGTTTTCTCTGTTTTTCTCTGTTTTCTCTGTTTTCCTGTTTTCTCTGTTTTCTCTGTTTTCTCTGTTTTCTCTGTTTCTCTGTTTTCTCTGTTTCTCGTTTTCTCTGTTTTCTCTGTTTTCTCTGTTTTCTCTGTTTTCTCTCTGTTTTCTCTGTTTTCTCTGTTTTCTCTGTTTTCTCTGTTTTCTCTGTTTTCCTCTGTTTTCTTGTTTCTCTGTTTTCTCTGTTTTCTCTGTTTTCTCTGTTTCTCTGTTTTCTCTGTTTTCTCTGTTTTCTCTGTTTTCTCTGTTTCTCTGTTTTCTCTGTTTTTCTCTGTTTTCTCGTTTTCTCTGTTTTCTCTGTTTTTCTCTGTTTTCTCTGTTTTCTCTGTTTTTCTCTGTTTTCTCTCTGTTTTTCTCTGTTTCTCTGTTTTCTCTGTTTTCTCTGTTTTCTCTGTTTCTCTGTTTTCTCTGTTTTTCTCTGTTTTCTCTGTTTTCTCTGTTTCTCTGTTTTCTCTGTTTTCTCTGTTTTTCTCTGTTTTCTGTTTCTCTGTTTTCTCTGTTTTCTCTGTTTTTCTCTGTTTTCTCTGTTTTCTCTGTTTTCTCTGTTTTCTCTGTTTTCTCTGTTTTTCTCTGTTTTCTCTGTTTCTTTTCTCTGTTTTCTCTGTTTTCTCTGTTTTCTCTGTTTTCTCTGTTTTCTCTGTTTTTCTCTGTTTTCCTCTGTTTTCTCTGTTTTCTCTGTTTTCTCTGTTTTCTCTGTTTTCTCTGTTTTCTCTGTTTTTCTCTGTTTTTCTGTTTTCTCTGTTTTCTCTGTTTTCTCTGTTTTCTCTGTTTTTCTCTGTTTTCTCTGTTTTCCTGTTTTCTCTGTTTTCTCTGTTTCTCTGTTTTCCTCTGTTTTCTCTGTTTTTCTCTGTTTGTTTTTCTGTTTTTCTCTTTTTCTCTGTTTTTTCTCTTTTTCTCTGTTTTCTCTGTTTTCTACTGTTTTCTCTGTTTTCTTCTCTGTTTTTCTCTGTTTTCTCTGTTTTCTCTGTTTTCTCTGTTTTCCTGTTTCTCTGTTTTCTCTGTTTTCCTCTGTTTCTCTGTTTTCTCTGTTTTCTCTGTTTTTCTCTGTTTTCTCTGTTTCTCTGTTTTCTCTGTTTTCCGTTTTCTCTGTTTTCTCTGTTTTCTCTGTTTTCTCTGTTTTCTCTGTTTTCTCTGTTTTCTCTGTTTTCTCTGTTTTCTCTGTTTTCTCTGTTTTCTCTGTTTTCTCTGTTTTCTCTGTTTTCTCTGTTTTCTCTGTTTCTCTGTTTTTCTGTTTTCTCTGTTTTCTTCTGTTTTCTCTGTTTTCTCTGTTTCTCTGTTTCTCTTTTTCTCTGTTTTCTCTGTTTTCTCTGTTTTCTCTGTTTTCCTCTGTTTTCTCTGTTTTCTCTGTTTTCTCTGTTTTTCTCTGTTTTCTCTGTTTTCTTCTCTGTTTTCTCTGTTTTCCTCTGTTTTCTCTGTTTTCTCTGTTTTCCTGTTTTCTCTGTTTTCTCTGTTTTTCTCTGTTTTCTCTGTTTTCTCTGTTTTCTCTGTTTTCTCTGTTTTTCTCTGTTTTCTCTGTTTTCTCTGTTTTCTCTGTTTCTCTGTTTTCTCGTTTTCTCTGTTTCTCTGTTTTCTCTGTTTTCTCTGTTTTCTCTGTTTTTCTCTGTTTTCTTTCTCTGTTTTCTCTGTTTCTTCTGTTTTCTCTGTTTTCTCTGTTTTCTCTGTTTTTCTCTGTTTTCTCTGTTTTCTCTGTTTTCTCTGTTTTCTCTGTTTTCTCTGTTTTCTCTGTTTTCTTTTCTGTTTTCTCTGTTTTCTCTGTTTCTCTGTTTTTCTCTGTTTTCCTCTGTTTTCTCTGTTTTCTCTGTTTTCTCTGTTTTCTCTGTTTTCTCTGTTTTCTCTGTTTTCTCTGTTTTCTCTGTTTTCTCTGTTTTCTCTGTTTTCTCTGTTTTCGCTCTGTTTTTCCTCTGTTTCTCTGTTTTCTCTGTTTTCTCTGTTTTCTCTGTTTTCTCTGTTTTCTCTGTTTTCTCTGTTTTCTCTGTTTTCTCTGTTTTCTCTGTTTTCTCTGTTTTTCTCTGTTTTCTCTGTTTTCTCTGTTTCTCTGTTTCTCTTTCTCTGTTTTCTCGTTCTCTGTTTTCTCTGTTTTCTCTGTTTTCCTCTGTTTTTCTCTGTTTTTCCTCTGTTTTCTCTGTTTTTTTCTCTGTTTTCTCTTTTCTCTGTTTTCTCTGTTTTCCTCTGTTTTCTCTTTTCTCTGTTTTCTCTTTTTCTCTGTTTTCCTTTTCTCTGTTTTCTCTGTTTTCTCTGTTTTCTCTGTTTTCTCCTCTGTTTTCTCTGTTTTTCTTCTCTGTTTTCTCTGTTTTTCTTCTCTGTTTCTTTCTCTGTTTTCTCTGTTTTCTCTTCTGTTTTCTTCTCTGTTTTCTCTGTTTTCTCTTTTCTCTGTTTTCTCTGTTTCTCTTTTTTCTCTGTTTTCTCTTCTTTTTCTCTGTTTTCTCTCTTGTTTTCTCTGTTTTCTCTGTTTTCTCTGTTTCTCTTTTTCTCTGTTTTCTTCTCTGTTTTCTCTGTTTTCTCTGTTTTCTCTGTTTTCTCTGTTTTCTCTGTTTTCTCTGTTTTCCTCTGTTTTCTCTTCTCTGTTTTCTCTGTTTTCTCTGTTTTCCTCGTTTTCTCTTTTCCCGTTTTCTCTGTTTTTTCTCTTTTCTCTGTTTTCTCTGTTTTCTCTGTTTTCTCTGTTTCTTTTGTTTTCTCTGTTTTCCTCTGTTTTCCTCTGTTTTTCTGTTTTCTCTGTTTTCCTCTGTTTTCTCTGTTTTCTCTTTCTTTTTCTCTTTCTCTGTTTTCTCTGTTTTCTCTGTTTTCTCTGTTTCTCTGTTTTCTCTGTTTTCTCTGTTTTCTCTGTTTTCTCTGTTTTCTCTGTTTTCTTCTTTTCTCTCTTTCTCTCTTTTCTCTCTTTTCTCCTTCTCTTTTTCTACTCTTTTCTTCTCTTTTCTCTCTTTCTCTCTCTTTTTTCCTCTTTTCTCTCTTTTTCTTTCTTTTCTCTTTTCTCTCTTTTCTCTCTTTTCTTCTTTCTCTCTTTTCCTCTTTTCTTTTCTCTCTTTTCTCTCTTTTCTCTTCTTTTCCTCTCCTTTTCTCTCTTTTTCTTCTTTTCCTCTTTTCTCTTTTTCTCTCTTTTCTCTCTTTTCTTTTTCTCTCTTTTCTCTCTTTTCTCTTTCTCTCTTTTCTCTCTTTTCTCTCTTTTCTCTCTTTTCTCTCTTTTCTTTTCTCTTCTTTTCTCTCTCTTTTCTCTCTTTTCTCTCTTTTCTCCTCTTTTCTCTCTCTTTTTCTCTCTTTTCTCTCTTTTCTCTCTTTTCTCGCTTCTTCTCTCTTTTTCTCTCTTTTTCTCTCTCTTTTTCCTTTTCTCTCCTTTTCTCTCTTTCTTTTTTCTCTTTTTCTCTTTTCCCTTTCTCTCTTTTCTCTCTTCTCTCTCTTTTTTTCCTATATATAGCTGTCCTGCTCCACCTCTGTTAGTGTGACTGTCAATGGTCCAAGTCGGACCGAAACGTCGTCGTAAGCTTCTCTTTTATGTGCGGGTTATTTATTCTATTGTTATTGTAATTATTCTATTGCATTAAACTTAATATTTCATGTGGTAAATTTTTTTTTCATACTTTTGGGTGTCTTGCACGGATTAATTTGATTTCCATTATTTCTTATGGGGAAAATTAATTACTTTCGATATTTTCGACATTCGATAGCTCTCACGAACTGATTAGTATCGAATGTTAAGGGTCCACTGTATTTTTATATAGCCAGACTTTAGTCCTGGAAATGGGAAGTACAATGCCTGCACTTCAAAGGAAGGGTTTGGGATATTGGCAGTTTGGAGGTATATGTTGTATCTTTATATGCACATGCTTCTAAACTGTTCTATTCTGAGCACCCCTGCAAAAAGTGATTGTGAGTGAGGTTAGTGTTGATTAAAGTATTTTTTATTTTTGGGGATTTTCTTTTTGGGTTACCTTGCCTCGGTGAGAGACGGCCAACTTGTTAAAAAAAAAAAATGTGTATATATATAAGTATTAATCTGTTGAGTGAATTTTCAGATCCTTGCAAGTATTTTGGCTGTGAGCTAGGAGCCCAGACACAGTTTGACACCAAAAATGATAGATACATTGTGAATGGTTCTCACGAAGCAACAAAGCTTCAAGATTTGTTGGATGGTTTCATAAAGAAATTTGTTCTGTGTCCTGAATGTGAAAATCCTGAGACTGTACTTTTCCCAAATGTAAGTAAATATAAACATTCCTTTTAATAAGGCAATAACATTAAAAAAAAGTCAAATATCAGTAGTGTAACTAACTGGGCTTGATTGAAAGGAAGTGAACTTTGTATATAATGTGCTTTTATATGCTAAAATACTTGTTAAAACTATTGCAGTTCTCGATTAAATTGTTTGGATGGGATATAAAAAGGTTTGGAAGTTATTTGTGAGCTTGAAATTAATGTCAATTTTAAAAATTGCAGGAGAAGAAAGGGATAATTAAACAGTCTTGCAAGGCTTGTGGTTATCAGGGATTGCTCGACATGCGCCACAAGCTCACCACATTCATACTTAAAAACCATCCAGGTAAGTGCCATAGTTATGTGCATTTTTTGTGTGTGCATTTTATTATGTGTGGATTTTTGACCTTGTAACTAAATTTTTGACCAGTAGTATTTAACATTACTCTAATTTATTGCTTGACTCACTTGTACTTGAATTATAGCATAATTTTGTTACAATAACTTCCATTTGTCTTGCATAGTAATTAGTTATAAAATATTTAGATACAATTTTTTTTTAACCTTGGCTTATTACCCTGAGTTCCTTAGTTATCGTAAGTCACATTGGCATTCTCGGTTTTTCCTGTTTTAAATATATAATGTAATGTACTATTTATGCCTATATGTGCATTGTAAAAGATAATATAAGCTGTGTGCATGATCCTAATATAAATCTTCCTTTAGATAAAAGGAGAGTGGCATGTCTCGCACACTAACCCTTTCAGGGGCCAGACTCCAAATTTTGAAGTGTGCACCAGGGTTCAAAATTTAAAAAAAAAAAAAAAAAAAAAAAAAAAAAAAAAAAAATGAAATGGTTGAGAATCTTTCTGAAGGTAATAAAACAAAGTATGAAATTTGATGGAAAATTGATGAAATTATACTCTCGTGAATTTTGATGCGTTATTGATATTTATGCATCTGCGATTTTGCCGACTTTGACTCCCATTTTAGGCCAATTATATTATTCCAGTAGACCAAATTCTTAGCTATTTCACTAATATTACTTCTGTTCTATCGATTGAGCACAAGAAATCGCCAGGTCAACTGTTTCAACTACAAAATAGTGATCAGAAATTGGTAATTTGGCCAATTTAATGCGAAGTTCAAAATATTCCAATTTCAAAATCCAGAATAAACACTGCAGGCATTCCTGGCACTAAAATTATATTTCCTCTGTTCATTAGTTACATATTCAGGCTTTACAAATGAATTCCATTTGAATTTTTTACTCGCGTAATGAATTTTTATTCAAACCAAACAATAGAAGATTTATTATGTAATATTGTAATAATTGTATAAATATCACGTTTGTGAACATATATTAGACCCACCAGCTGGCATGGTTTTAGACACGAGGTCATTTGTTAACTCTTGAACATCGGCAAAAATTTAACATTTTTGCTTTGAGCTCAGGTTCAAGCCATTTCCAGTGCTAAAACCAATCGAAATCATCTCTATTTCTATAATATATCTTCCATTCTATCAAATGAGACAAAGAAATGGCAAATATAACTAAAAAAAAAACAGAAGAAACACTGCAAAGTTTGTTTTAATCGAAAATTATGGTCTTTTTTCTCTCGTTATGACCGTACTGCAGGATTTGTTTTATGTGGTGCACACATACCATGTAGATGTATTCTCGTATCTAGGCACAAATTTACCGCTTGCAGATTATCAGTGAGCTGAGCTCGTGGCGTAGATCTACGGTTTGGACCCTCGACTCAAGCCTTAGAACTACGGCACGGATCCTGAAAGGGTTAATGCACTCTCAAGCAAGTGTTAGTAATGATACACTGAGTAGGCCTGCCTGGTCTTGCATTTTTTCTATGCATAACGTTAGAGCAGTCAGTTGAGATGAGGCATAAAATATCAGTTGGCAGCAAATTTGAGGATTACAAAATTTTTTGTATGTATGTAGTGCTTAAAACTAGCTTGTATGTAGTTGTGTGTACAGGAAGTATTTCTCGTCTGATGGTTGAGAAATGGAATGACCTTTATTATGTGGAGAGGGCAGACTCCATACCTGGTTTTCAGACTAAGCACAATTATTATAATCAAAAAGAAGCGCTAAGCCACAAGGGCTATACAGCTCTAGGTACAATAGGGTCAACGATGCTAGGAGTGAATCTGGCAAGTTGTCAGGTCCAAGAGCTAAGACTTTGATAACTATACATAGGTGGAGCATAGGCAAGTACAAACACTTGCACATGTGTGCATGTGCACACAGCTGAAAGTTGTCAGGATGAGCCACAGATGTCAAGAAATATTTCTTCAGTCTTGGAGTGGTCAGAAAGTGGAATGATTTTAGGTGGTGTAGGCAGGCTTCTTACAGTTATAAGAGCATGTATGATGGGGGCCCATGTGGCTAAAAGGGAAGGAATTGGAAGTGTGAAGTTGAGGGGTAGGGCCAGGATCTGAGAATTTACCCCTGCAACCACAGAGTATGGCCATGTTAATACATGTGCACATACATGTACACAAGCATGTAGTACAATGTACATGCACAATGCATACATGTACACGTGTACATAACCCTTCGAGTGTCCCCTAGTTCTACGGCTTTGAAGCCAGGGTCCAAGCAGTGGTTCTATGCCATGATCTTGGCTCGCTCGGGTAAGCTGTGAATGGTAAATTTGGGCCTAGATGAGAGAATACATCTGTGGTGATTGCACAACAAAACAAATCCTGCTGCACGCATTGCACAGCGAGGGGGGGGGATATTTTTGGGATTAAAACTGCGACTGTGTGGTGGCGTTTCTTTCTTTCTTTTTCTTTTTCTTTTTTTTTTTTTTTTTTTTTTTTTAATTTCTCCAGTTGTATTTGTGGTTTCTTGGTCTCATTGATAGAATGGAAGATTTATTACAGAAATAGATATGATTTTGATTGGTTTTAGTACTGAAAATGGCTTGAAACTGAGCTCAAAGTAGCGGAAATGTTCGATATTTGCTGATGTTCAAGAGTAAACAAATGACATCACGTGTCCAATACACATCAGCTGGTGGGTCTAATGTGCATTCATAAATGTGCTGATATTATTTATACAATTATTACAATATTGCATAACGGTAAATCTTGTATTTTTCTTGGTGTGAATAAAAAATTAAAATGGAATTCATTTGTAAAGTTTGGAAATGGAAACATAACTAATAAACAGAGGAAATGTTATTTTAGTGCCAGGAATGCCTACATTATTTATTCTGGACCATATTTTAAAATTGAAATATTTTGAGCTTTGTGAAATTGGCCAAATTGCCAATTTCCAATCACTTCATTGGGCAGCCGAAACAGTTGACTTGGCGATTTCTTGTTTTCAGTCTGTAAAATAGAAAGCAATACTAATGATATAGCTAAGAATTTGGTCGACTGGAATAATGTAATTGGCCTAAAATTTGAGCCGGTGGGCAAAATCACCGATGCATAAATATGCTGACGCGGCATAAATTGAGAGCTTAATTTCTCCCATTTTCCATCAGATTTCGTACTTTCTTATTACCTTCAGAAAAAGATTATCTACCATTTCACAAGATGTAATTTGTTAAATTCTTGGACCCTGTGGACAAGCTTCAGATGAGGGGGGTCTGGACCCTGAAAAGGTTAATGCATACACACAGGCAAGCTGTGAGAGCATCCAAACTGTATATTTAAACATAAAATTTATATTGCAAAAGCAACATATACTGGGACAAGTCCCCTAATATAAACATTCAGTGGCCAGTAGTAACCAAGGAGAGGAGACATTATTTGTATATTTTAATTCACCATTTAGAAATGACTAAAGCAGTGGGGTGTTCATTGGCAAGTTGAAAAAAAAAATACAGCCCCTGTTTGAGTAGTATTAAGAACATCAGTGGCAAAGGTTAACTTGAGAAAGTTTGTGTAACATTTTGGAACCTTGGCACTTTCAAAGACCCATTATTGCATACTTTTTACCCATTCTTGTTTGTGTGAAACCTTCATCTGTGGAAGCAAACTTGTGTGCAAAGGATAACAGATTGGTGTCTGTACCAAGGGAAATGATAACTATTTCTAGTTACTAGAGTAAAGAGCAGGGGTGGAAGGAGGAGAGACAATTTTAAATTGTTTAAATACCCAAGGAAGCTTTAGGTATGCCTGTAAACTTGAAATAAAAGTGATTGAATGACAGGAAGAAAGTTTACTTGATAATGACAGTTGAACACACTCACTATCTGACAAATCTTACCCATATCAGTATTTAACATTGGATTTAAAGTTAGTAGCAGGGAGGAGAGGCAAAGGTAATGGCCCCCCCCCTCCTTTTTCTGCATTAGTGATAATTGCCTAATAAAAGAAAATAAATTTAAGTGTTAGTGTTTAATGCCATAAGAAACAAAAGTAACACTTGTGTGCCTGTTATGAAAGATTTGTTGGTTAGATCAGCAAAAGAAATGTTTTATTGTGGAAAGATAAAATTGGTGGCTAATTGGGTAGTTGTCAGGAAAGCCTTGTAAGGGGCAGTCAGAATGGAAAAGGGGTTGACTTACCTTTTTATGCTCGGATTTCCATCGATTTATTGAACGTTTCAAAGTGTAATATAATTATTTTAACCTCAAGTTGTACGGGTTTCTAGATATAAAGCCTAATCAACCTGGCACTGCTCTAACTAAGAGGAAGGAACGGGCAAAGAAGACAGAGAATGGCCAGAAAGATTCTCTGCGTCCTAATTCCCCACGTGCTGACAAATCTGATGCATCCGACAACGACATGAATGGTGATCCTGAAGATGTAAGTTTTTTTTTCTTGTTTATATATTTTCTTAGTTGGACTTGAGTCCTGGAAATGGGAAGTACAATGCCTGCTCTTTAAAGGAGGGGTTTGGGATATTGGCAGTTTGGAGGGTTATGTTGTGTATCTTTTACGTACTATGCTTCTAAACATGTTGATATTCTGTGCCACCTCTGCAAAAGCAGTGATAATGTGCGAGTGTGGTGAAAGTGTTGAATGATGATGAAAGTATTTTCTTTTTGGGGATTTTCTTTCTTTTTTGAGTCACCCTGCACACTCATCTGAGTTTTCTTTGATTTTATCTTAATAGTTCTTGGTCTTATTAATTTTCCTTTTATATCCATGGAGAAGTGGAATAAGAATCTTTCCTCCGTAGCCTTGCGTGATTGTAGAAATGTCAACAAAATGACGGGAACACTGGGCTAGTGAATCCCTTTTATTGTAATGATTACTAAAAAGAATAAGAAGAAAATTGTCAAAGTGGGAAGTCTGAATGTGCGTGGATGTTTGTGCAAGATAAGAAAGAGATGCTTGTGGATGTATGATGACGAAGAAGCTGGATGTCATGGCTTTAAGTGAAACAAAGCTGAAGGGGGTGGGAGAGTTTCGTGGAGAGAATAATGGGATTAGGTCAGGGGTTTCAAATCAGTTCAGAGCTAAAGAAGGAAGTAGAATAATGTTGAAGGATAAGCTATGGCAGGAAAAGAGGGAATATAAATGTAATTAATTCAAGGTTATGTGGAGTAAAATAAAGATTGGATGTGAAAAGTGGGTATATTAAGCGTGTATGCCCCCTGGAGAAGAGAGAAGTGTAGAGGAGAGAAGAGATTTTGGGAATGTTGAGTGAATGCGTGGGGAGTTTTGAATCAGAGTGTGAGAGTAAGGTGGTGGGGATTCAATGCTAAAGTGGGTAAAAATGTTATGCGAGGGAGTAGTAGCGTAAATCTTGGGGTGCCAGGGTAAATGTACTTGGGGGCCTTTATTTGAGCTATGTGTAGAAAGAAATATTGGTATTAGTAATACATATTTTAGGAAAAAGAGGATAAATAAATTTACAAGGTACGATGTAGCACGTAATGAAAGTAGTTTTTAGATTAAGTATTGGTGGATTAAATGGTGATGGGTAGGCTACAGGATGTACATGTTTATAGAGGGGGCAATGATATATCGGATCTTATTTTAGTTGTTGCTCACAGTTAGAGTAAGAGGTAGATGGGGAAAAGGAGGAAGTTGGCAACAAACAAGTAAGAGGAGGTGAAAGTGTATAAACTAAGGGAGGAGGAAGTTTCGGGTGAGATTAGGACTATTGGCAGAAAGTTGGGCTAGTGCAAAGATGAGTAGTGGGGGGGTTGAAGAGGGGTTGGTATAGTTTTAAAAATGCAGTATTTAGTAATGTGGGGCAGAAGTTTGTGGTTATAAGGGGGAACAAAGGGGGGTGGGGGCAGGAGGAAGAGCGTGATTGGTGGAATGATGAAGTAAAGGGTGTGATAAAGAGAAAAAGGTAGCTTATGAGAGGTTTTTACAAAAGCAGAAGTGTTATAAGAAAGCAGAGTATATGGAGAGTAAGATGAAGGTAAAGGAGAGTGGTGAGAGAGTGCGCAAAGGAGAGCTGATGATAGTGGGAGAGGCACTGTCAAGAAATTTTAATGAAAATAAAGAAAAATTTTGGGAGGCTGAGTTAAAACAAGTTAAGAAAGCCTAGGGAAAATATGGATTTGGTCAGTTAAAAACAGAGTAAGGGGTAGTTAATGATGGGGAGATGGAGGTATTCGGGTAGATGGCGAGCATTTTTGAGGAACTTTTAAAATGTTAAGGAAAGAAAACAGAGGCAGTATTTCATGAAATGGTCAGGAGGTATACAATCTTTTTTGGAGTGAGAAGAGCAGATTGCTAAGTGTGGGGGTGGTACGTGAGGTGCATTACATAAAATGAAAGGGGGTGAAGCAAGCTGGAACTGATGGGGATCATGTCAGCAAAATGTAAAAAGCAGGGGGGGATACAGTGTTGGAGTGGTTGGTACTTACGTTTAATAAATGATGAAAGAGGAAGGTACCTAGGGTTGGCGGAGAGCCATGTATAGTCCCATATATATAAAGGGAAAGGGCGACCAAGAGACTGTTAACATTATAGAGGAATTAGCTTACTGAGTATACCAAGGAAAAGTGTACGGTAGGGTTATAATTGAATGCCTTAGAGGTGTAAGAAGAATGTCTGGATTGCGGATGAGCAAGGAGGTTCTCAGTGCGGCTAGGGGTTGTGTAGATCGCGGGTGGTTTACTATTGAGCATATATGCTGGAACCCACCCTGATATCTTAGAGAAAAGATAGACAAGGAAGTTTATTGCATTTATGGATTTAGAAAAGGCTAATGTTAAGTGGATAGAGGAGCACTCTCGTGGCAGATGTTGCAAGTATATTGGAATTAGGTGGTAAGTTATTAAATGCTGTAAAGAGTTTTTATGAGGATATGAGGCCTCAGGTTAGGGTGTGTTAGAAAGAGAGGGCGCTCGCCACTACTTCCCGGGTAAATGTAGGTCTTAGGACAGGATGTGTTATGTCACCATGGTTGTTCTAATATATTTATAGATGGGGTTGTAAAAGGAAAGTAAATGCTAGGGTGTTCGGGAGAGGGGTGGATTAAAGTTTGGGGAAACAAATTCAAAATGGCGAATTGAGTTACTTCTTGATGTTGATACTGTCGCTTATGGGAGATTCTAAGAAAAAATTGCAAAGGTTAGTGGAAGAGTTTGGGAATGTGGGTACAAGGTAGAAGTTTGGAAAGTGTACATAGAAATGAGTAAGGTGATGAGGGTGTCAATGATTTAGTTAAATGAAAAATTGGATATCAAATGCGGGAGGAGGAGTATGGGAAGAAGTGAATGTTTTCAGATACTTGGGAGTTGAGTGTCGGCGGAATGGATGTTATGAAGGATGAGGTTAATCATAAGAATTGATGCAGGGAAAAAAGGTGAGTGGTGCATTGAGGTATATGTGGAGTCAAAAAAACGTTATCTATGGAGGCCAAAGAAAGGGAATGTATTGAAAATGTCTAGTAGTTCCATAACTCTATTATATGGATGTAAGCTTTGGAGTTGGTAAAATGCAGCAGCGAGTGAGACGGGTGGAGGCAGTGGAGTATGTCCTGTTTAGGGCAATGTGTGGTGTAAATAGTTTGGCAGAAAAATTCGGAGCGTGGAAATTAGGAGAAGGGGTGCGTGTTTATAAAAGTATTAGTCAGAGGGAGAAGAGGGGTTGAGGTGGTTTGAGTCATTAGAGTGAATCGATCAAAATTAAAATGTCATGGAAACATATAAATCTATAGGCGGAAGGAAGGAGGGGATAGGGGTCTTGCTAGAAAGGGTTGGAGAGATAGGTAAAGGGGGTTTTGTGGGAAAGGGGCTTGGACTTCCAGCTGCATGTATGATCGTGTTTAAATTGGAGTGAGTGGAGACGAATGATAATTGGGACCTGGTCGATCTGTTGGTAGGGTGTGCAGGGTTTTATTTTGTGATGGGATTAAGGGTAACCGGTTATTTTCTTATTGTCGGACTTTTGGTTGGATATGGGAAGTCCCATAATGCCTGCAACTTTTTAGGAGGGTTTGGGATTTGTGGATGTTTGGAGGGAGTGTGTGTTTTGATGGTATAGGTGTAGGCTGCTTGAATCGCGCTCTCTTGTTATTGTTGTGAGGTGATACGAGGATTAATATGGGAGTTTGTGATAGTGTGGGGGTTAGGGGGGTAGGATGATGAAAGGTTTTTCTGGGTGGGGTTTTTATGTCTGGGTGGGTGGGGATAACCACGGACGCGGGGGTGTAGGAAGTCGGGGGGGGTTGTTTTTTTTTTTTTTTATTTTTTTTGTGTGTGTGTGTTGTGTGTGAGTTGAGAGTGTGTCGTGGGCTCGTTGTGGCGTGGTGTGTCGTGGGTGTCGGTTTGTTTGTAGTTGTGCTGTGGTTGTTTTGATTGTGTGTGTGTGGGTTTTGTTTTCGTGTGTGTGTGTTTCGTTATAGTGTCGTGTTGTGCTAGAGGCTTTTGTGTGTGTGTGTGTTTGTTTGTTGTGTGTGTTTGTGTGTGTGTAGTGTTTTGTCGTTGGTTGTGTGTGTGTGTGTGTGTGTGTGTTCTGTGTGTCGTGTGTTTTGTGTTATTGTGTGTGTGTGTGTGTTTGTGTGTGTGTGTGTTTGTGTGTGTGTGATTGTGGTGTGTGGTGTGTTTGGTGGTGTGTGTTTGTGTTCGTGTGTGTGTTTTGGTGTGGGTGTGTTTGTGTGTGTGTGGGTTTGTGTGTGTGTGTGTGTTTTTCGTGTGTGTTTGTGTAGTGTGTTCTGTGTGTGGGTGTGTGTGCTGTTTATGTGGTGGTGTAGTGGTCGATTTGGGTGGTGTGTGTGTCTGGTGTTGTGTGTGTGTTTGTGATGTGTGTGTGTGTTTGTGTGTTGTGTGTGTTTGTTGTGTGTGTGATGCTTTTTCGTGTGTTAAGTGTTTTTGTCAGTGTGCTGTGTGTGATGTCGCTGTCGTCGTGGTGTTTGTGGTGGTGTGTTCTGTGTCGTGTGGTGTGTGTTTGTATGTAGTGTGTGTTGTCGGGTAGCTGGGTGGTGTGTGAGTGCTAGCGTGTGTGTGGTGTGTGTAGTGTGTGTGTGTGTGAGTTGGGTGTGTGTGTGTGTGTTTGTTGTGTGTGTGTGTATTGTCGTTCTAGTGTGTGTTTTGTGTGTGTGTGTGTTTTGGTGTGTGTGTGTTTGTGTGTTGTGTGTGTGTTTGTGTCGTGTGTGTGTGTGTGTGTGTGGGTGTTTTGTGTGTGTGTCGTGTGTTTGTGTGTGTGTGTGTTTGTGTGTTGTGTGTGTGTGTGTGTGTGTGTGTATGTGTGTGTGTGTGCTGTGTGTGTGGTGTGTGTTTTTCTGTGTTGTGTGTGTGTGTAGTTTGTGTGTGTGTGTGTGTTTGTGTGTGTGTGTTTGTGTGTGTGTCGTCGTGTGTGTGTATGGGTGTGTTTGTGTGGAAGGGTGTGTGGTGAAGTGTGTGTGTGTGCAGTG